CCTGTAGTATAGTGATTTGGGTGCCCTGGATATTCAAGGGGGATATAGCAAGCTGATCTAAATACTTATATTACTTAGTAAATACAAAGGCATCTGTAGATAATATAGCTTGATTAATCCACTTCTTCTAATAGTTAGCTTTCACGCGGGAGATTGCTTTCTAAAGAAGTATATAGTCTAGAGAGTGTTACTGCCGTGTTTGTTATAGCAGAATTGTGAGTTCTGGGGTCCACCAAGGGATTCATGGAAGCCTGTGGGTGTTATATTCAGATATGCCATAGATTGCTAGCTGTGCTCTACTAATGAGCTTCTCTGCCAGTATATTAATAGAGAGGTTTAGGAGTGGTAGGGTCAGTATAGCCCTGGCCTTCTCCCAGTTTATAGAGCCTAGCTTTAGGCGGGATGGGGGCTCCTTCCAGTTTACTGTTACTAAGATAGTTATATAGTTACTTAAGATACTGAGATAGTCTTTGACTATAGCTCTTACAGCCAGATTTAAGAAAACCAGATCTAGAGTATTATATCTATAGATAGGAGTTTCTGGCTTAAGGCAAAGTATTAGCTTATGGGTCTTAAGCTACTCTATTAGACCTGTTATACCAGCTGTAATAGATTATGGCTCAGTATCAGGCTGCTAGAGAGAATGGTGAGTGTTAAAATCCCCTGCTAGGATAGTATTCTGCGGAGGAGAGTATTGGAGTAATATATATAGAGTTAATAGTGTTAATCCAGCCCCCGCGGGGGTAACTGGGTCATGTAGGGGGCAATAGAAATTAATGATAGTTAGCCCTGCTGTGCAGACAGCTATAATGTCTGGTAAAACAGGCTGAGAAAGCGAGTATGCTGGGAGGTCCTGGCATACATATATTAGGGCTCTAGATCTGGTCTCCCAGCGTGTAACAGGACTAAAGAGTTAGTAGCAAGAATATGTTTTTGTCCAGTGCTTTATTATATCTGTCCAGGATTCCTGAACAAGGATGATATCTACCTTGAATAATAGCAGTAGATCATAGGCAGCACTATCTCTTCCTATATTAGCCTGGACTATTTTCATAGTTCTGGCTGGGAAAGGACTTGGTTAGCGAGCGCTTGCAGGAGCTGGCTTGATAGTTAACTTGGTGACTGGTTCAGTGGTCAGGCTAGTGGTTAGCCTGAAGTATATGGGCTGGTGGATTGATCAGCGGAAGCTTGTTTGTCTCGTTGCTGTTAGAAGGCAAGCCGGCCGGCTTTACGAACAGCAGCTAGAGTATCTTTAGAGAGGTAGATAATGATGCTCTTTTGTGTATGTAGCCTAGCAGGGCACTTCTGATAGTCTACTGTATAGGGTCCGGAGTAATTAATGCATTGGATACGGCAGACATGGTCTTGCTTGGAGAATCCACAGGAGACACAACACTCGCTAGAGTGGCAGGCCCGGGAATTATAGAAGCGGTGACAACGGAAGCACTGAAGAGTCTTTTACTTAGGATAGATTAGCCTAGACAGGCCGGAGGAGCCAAAAAGTTATAGAGTATAGTATAACTTTTTCAGAAAGGCTATAACTGCAGTAATAGAGCCCTCTTCTACAGAATATTTGGAAAATTTGGTTATGAGTGGCTTGATACCGGAGGCTCGCTCTGCCTCTATACTAATGTCATTGATTATAGTGTCTGCCCAACCATTCAGGGACCAGAGTTGCCGTGGAATCCAGGAGATAATAACTTGGTAGTATTCTGTTGCAGCTTCGAAAAATCCGTCTCCGGCAAGCTTGTTAGCCTGTGCAGAGAGTAAGAAGGCCCTGCCCTCTTCTGTAGTAGAGATAGCAAAGCCTGTAGGTACAGCCTGTATCTACTCTATCCTGCCTGGGATTCGCTCTGAGAGGGTGATATAAATGCCATGTGGGCTAATAGTACATAGGCTAGAGAAGATTAGTAGCCAGAGAAAGATATAGGAATCTGCTTTCCTTGGCTGTTGTGGCTTTTATTGTACCGGTTGATATTTAGTCTGTATAGGGTATTTGTGGATAACAGTCTGCCAGTTTACCTGACTAGTATTAGGTGCTGCTAGTAAGGCCCAGGATAGCGCCTGTATAGCCTGCCTGGCTAGAGAGACTTGCTTTATTTACTTCGCTGGTACAGGCTACCTAGTTGGCAGAACTAGCGTTACTATAGGCTTAGATAGTCCTTGCTAGGGGGAGTCCTGCTTGGCTATTGTAATGAATCTAGCTGCCAGACCCCGGATGAGTTCCTTTGGGCGGCCTTGCAGAGAGGAAACAGTTAAATCAAGTGTCTCCACAAGAGAAGATAGCGCCTGTTTCCAGTCACTGAAGAGAAGGAGTTAGTCATTCACAACTGTATTGACCTGTTGGCAAATAGACGGGGAGAAAGCCCCGTCAGGCACAAGGACAGGAAATACCGTAGGTGACTTCTGAGAGAAGAATAGAGCTCTCCGCTTTAGGGAAATGCGGGGGAGGGGGATGGGAGTAGTAGGCCCTTGGGGGGGGTCAGAGTTTTCAGGTACGGGTGGAGTCCCCGGGGGAGCACCCTCCGCGGGAGGGACGTCCACCTCCATTAGAGGGAGGGAGCAAGAGATCCGATTAGGCAGTATAGGTCTAATATATGGTGTTAGGGGTCTTTTTATTCCCCTTGAGATGGTTGAAACCACAAGGTTGCTATTGTCAGATAAAATGACACTAAACGTGACCAGGATCATGTGATTAAAGAGGGGTAAAAGCGAGGCCCTATATGCACAATCAACATGAGCAAGTCAAGAATCATAGATACTGTATCATCAGTACAATCAATATCTTCAAGAAGAGCCCAAAAAGGCTCTAGACTTTGTCATCTTAAGACCTTTTATGAATCGTATCCTATCTCTTATTCGGGACTGACCGAATATCTGACAAATATCCACGTCAATATAGATGTTTATATATGTATTTCATCCTGTAGACTGCTGCAACAATGACTGATACCATAAACCATTCCTTGAATTCCGTTGTCCTTTAACATGGACAAAAACACCCTCGTAGAATGCAATAAAATTCTACTTTAGCAAAGGACAGTGAAGAGAAATTTACTCACTAAAGTGCAAGTAACTATTCAACTTCCTCACATCGCAGCTCTGCACCTCGACTGCCTTCGCCGAAGGAAATGTAGCATAGAATATACTAGGATATTGAATGGATGAAGACTTTTTAAGCTTTATCCTGAGGCCATTAGTGGACTAACAATTGAAGTAGATCATAACAGGAACATTTCCTTGTTTTTGTTAATTTGCAGTCTGTCTAAATTAGCAGAGACTAATTCCTGTATTTTTAATTAACCTACACATATGTACTAACTCGGGGCTGTATACCATCATTGGCTGTAGGATTATTATTGACTCTCGACGGCATCCAGCATCTATACAGAATTCTATATTAAATTTAATAAGCTCAATATAAGATACAGTATTATTATATATCTTTATAAATATCTTAATTATAACTTGCTAGTATATGCAATATGTCTTCTCTTTCAGTCAGTGGGGAAGCTGTGGCATTTATTTATTATTTAAGTGCTGTTAGCCACAATCCTTAGTATCTTAGAGGCGTATAGAGTATTTATTAAAGTATATTTAAAGTAAGAATTAATGATCTTCTCTTTTCACTTTATTCCTAGAAATATATCCAAAAAGAGAACGCTGTCCAAGAACAATTTTTAATTCTTGATTAAGACAAGCTATTAAAAAGATTAAAAAAAAAAAGAAAGAAAGTATATTTTAGGAAGTAGTACTAAATAATCTATGGTTAAAGTATACTAGCTTCAGCTATAGCTACAAATCAGGATCACTATTTATATAGAAGAAAAGTGGAGTATTAAAAGACACAATTTTGAGGCTCTTGGGGGCTCTGAGACAGCTCCAAAGATAAATAAACTCCGCAAGATGGCAAAGCCTATAATAAACTAAATTTCTGTATAGCCCAAGAGAAACTTACTTCTGGACTTTCCGTCAAGAGGGCCGGTTGGAACTATTGATAGGACTGGTAGGTTCATCTTTACTGACCTGTTGAGCTTCCAAATCAGGTGGTTCTGAGAAGGGTAGACTGGGGCTGCATGCTAGGCGTTTAATCCTACTGTCTTACAGGCAACAAACTTCTTGACATGAAATATATTAGGGAGATTTTCTAGCCTATAATTGGCTCTTGTGCCAGGTTACCCTTTCCCTTTTGTATCGATTGTGAAACATATGGAGTGCAGGCGTCTAGACCAACCCAGAGTCAAAGTCTAGTAAAAGGATCCTTGAGGTATCAAAGATTTCTATTTAGGGGGTTATATATTTTTAGCCGTATATCTTACAATCGCTTCAGGAGACAATATACCGACTATCCAGGTTTGGGGCAATAGAAGGATAGACGAAAAAGCGAAATATTTTGCGATGACTCCAGTACTCTGAACATTTGAGCCCGGTTCGCCTACGTACAATATCATTGGCTTATAGTGGTGGAGATCGGCAATGCTAGGCCTCAAACCAACTGCCAAAGTTGTTCCTAGGAACTTAAGATCTAGATAGGACATATTGCGAGACCTATATGAGATCATAGCACAGCTCAGACTCAAGGCTGCTTACCATAGCGAACTCAACTTTCAGATTTGCCTAATCATCTTATATTTGGGTCCCGGCCTCCAACAATGTTGGCTAAGCCGATTTTTCTGGCAAAGCTTCATGGAACATTTGGATATCACACGGCCATTTTCATATTTTTCGCATGGTCAATCGCATTTTATTTGTTGGCGCCCCTGGCCCACTAAGAACCCAAACATGTGTTTCACCAAACTTGAGGTTTTGCCCATAAATAGCAAATTATAAGAGACCACATGTATCCAAACATGGGGCTTAACATGTCATCACAGAATATTTAAGCAGTGTGCCAACCTCTTGTATCTCAGTAGAGGTCAATCCTTCCAATATTCTAATCAACTAATCATCATTCCCTAACTTTTTTACTTTATTTTCTCTCTTTCATTGCAAATTCACTATATACCCTGTTTCTAATATGTATATTGCCAATGTCTTAACTGTAACCGGGTTCCTGCTTAGCCAAGCGGTTGCTCATGGCCTGATTACCCGTATCAAGGGTGATAACGGGGTGGTTATGCCTGGTCTTACTGGTAGGTATTCACATTATTGACATATACCTACCCTGATGGAGTTTTAATCGCCTAACGGTTTTAGTCATGGACGGAATGCCGCGCGGCTGTCCATCCGCCGCCTGCGGCGCGCAAGGGGACACCGCGATTATCCGGGACCAGGAGATGGATGGCAATAAGGCCTCCCCACTCGGCCGGACTAATACAGGCGGCCCTGTGAATCCTGCTACTGTTATCAACTCATTCATGGGAGCTGGTAACAGCAACAGTAAACGTGCTGCCTTCACTGATCAACGTATAATCTCTTGTTACACTATTTTGCCTCATAAATTCTAATGTTTTGGCAGGTCGCCAGATGATCAATGATGCAGCTAGTATTATCACCAATGCTGGTGGTGCCATTCTCAATGGTTCATGCTTTACTCCCTCTGTACATGGCATTATTGGACTGACTCTCTTCCAGGTGCTCAGGACCTTGCCGACGCAACGCCATTCGGAGGCGCCATTAAGAGTGAGATATTGCCGGTGGCCTATAATAAAAGAAATAGGAAGCTGACTTAGATATCCAGATGCACAATCCGCAGTCGATGATGTCGCTGGTCTTGTTCCTGGAATGGGGTCTGGAGCAATGACCTCTAGTGATTCCAAGGAGAATGGGAATCAACAATACGCTGGACATGGTTCCTCTAAGGGCCTTCCTACTCCCAATGAGAACAGCATCATCACCATGACCTATCACCAGGTATATCTGCCAATTCCTTATCAAGTCTCTCTTATTAACTATGTCCAGGTGAATCAAGACGGTGCCGGTCCTTTATTCGCCGACATTGACGCCACGAGTGGTGGAACCGACCCAAGGGCCTTTAAAAGTGCCGAGGTTATCAAGAATGTTCCTGGAGTTGCTGGCTTCTCTACTTCAAGCACCATGGACTATGATGTCCAAGTTAAGGTGCCTTCTGGCATGAAATGCAGGGGAACCGTTGGCGCCACTCGGAATGTCTGCATTGTCCGGGTTCGCAACAACGCCATTTCGGGACCGTTTGGTGGCTCCGCTGCTTTCACTAACTAATTAGGTGTGGAAGGGCGTAAACTTCCACATGGCCTCACCTTTTCCATATGTGGTTTAGTAACATGTCCTTCATTCGTTAATTACTACAATATTTTCTCTCCCATGCCGCTTAGTTGGCTATCGAGCGATTGATACATTATTTTTTCTACGAGTAAAAGTCACATGTTATAGACTGTTTTTGTATTCATCAAAGCAACTATCCACTTATATTGTATCTTATCACTGAGGCCAAGTTTCGAATATATCTATATATTGATAAACTGTCACTTGTGGATGATTAAGATGAGTGAGTTGTTTCCAACAATCCGTAAATTAAAAAAGCAAAATATTTTGTCCATGAGTACCTTTCCTAATTGCAAGATTATTTAGAATAGGACCTAAAGAGCTCTCTATTAGAGAATTCAAGCTCCACAAATAGTCAACGATAGAGCCATGTAGTATATCTGGAGGCCCCGTAGTGCATCCTGAGATGAAAATAAGATAATATTTATGGAATGAACATAAAGCTGTTGCATATTTGATAAATGCAGTTGAACATTTTTCCTTTTACTAGAGAACGTAGGCTCGTATAAGGCTCTCCACTCTCACGAACCCTGTTTGAATTCCTGAACTGGTGGAGCAAACAGTAGACCCACAGAGGAATGCCTTCTTTTTATTAACGGTTGTTTCCGGTGGCAAGCGGGCCCGCCTGCGGAGGGGAATCTTACAAAAAATCCAAGAAGAGGATATCCCCTGGATCGAGGCCTAAGCTCTAGAATGGGCTCTCTCGTTGGCTGCGGAGAAAATAGAACTGATTTATCTGACAAGTTCAAAAAAGGAACAGGGTGTAAGGTAGCCTGTTAAACCAGCAGACACTGCAAAACTCCTAGGTGTCGTCTTCGACAAGGAGACGCGATAGAAGAAATACGTATATCAAGTAGTAAAGCGGGCCGCCGAGTCCAACTCTCTTTACCTACAAGACAGTATCAACACCGCTGTTTGAGGCAAAGTCTCACAAGCTGCCAACCCATCTGCAATTAAAGCAACGTGCGAAGATCATCGTCACCCACTTCAGCACGTCATGTGAACACGATCCGGTTCACGGGGTAGTGGCAGGCATGGATACGCAGCACCCGTCTCAGGGCTAGCCATCGTTTCTCCCTTGCGGAAACCATGTGGACGATGTGGCTTGTTCGCCCACAAGCTCTGGAAATAACTAACCCAAGGATGCTGGCACCTTGACGAGCACCAGTCTTTATTGAATCGATATTGAAACGGAATGACGATCGAGAAAGGCAAAGGGCAAGGCCGCTGCTGGTGGGCTGCAGGAATCTGATTAGCGTAATCATGTAGATACATGACATATTCTATACCCACTACCTTAAGCTACAAGTTTTAAGCATTTATAAACCATTTATTTACTACGGCTTAACTATTTACTAACTGCTTTCTATAATTTATAATTTATATTTTATAACCTTGCTTATCTTTCTAAGAGCTCTAGGTTTTTTTTTCTTATTTTAAAGTTGTTTCTCTCATACCTGCTCTTCTTTTTCCTTATTTTAAAGCTATTTTTCTTATACTTACTCTTCTTTCTGTAAGGGATAAGACCCGCAACGTTCGATAAACTATCATAGCTATCAAACAAGAAGAAAACGCTGAAGAAGAAAGAAAAGAGGAGGAGAATCACGGTAAGACAATAAGGTATGACAGGAAGAAGGGGCAGAAATACATATGTGATGAATATGGAAACAAGGGCCAACGGCCTGAGTATACTAACTGGCTTCAGCCCGCTACACGCCTGCTTTATTTAATTTAGGTTTAGGGTGCGATAGTTCTATCTCTGTGTATTCAGTTACTTCCTGTAGCTTTTGCTTTTCTACTTAATCCAGCAGTTAAGTTCCTGCTTCTGTAACTCTAGTTGGATCCGTTAATAATCTTGCTCCATGAGCCGCACTTCTTTCTCTAGGGCAGGACTCAGGGTGCTTAGTATTAATAGAGAGGTGCTTCCCGATTCCGCCTGTATAGTTATATTTCCGTGAGGTAGCAATATTGTAGCTGCGGCTATCATCACGGGGGTCGATTCAGAGGTTGTCAAATCGTGCGGTTGCCCGGAGCTCTGGATATTTAATCCAGCATCTCTCGCAGCAGCTACTCCCCTGCGCGTCTGCGGTGCCATAGCGGGCTATTCAGGGGTAAGAGAACCCAAATGAGTGATCAAAACTGTTAATTGCAGCTCAGAGAGCCGCAGGTAGTAGGGGAATAGCGTGCTACAGCGCCGCAGGTAGTAGGAGCAAGGGACTAGGTTTCCATTGAATGATCTACTACCATACACAGAGGTTGATCACTAGTTTCTGAAGCTATTGGGGTGCGGTCAGGATTTTACCGCAGCGGGTAGCACGTGGCCCGCACATGCTATATATTACCCGCAGGCGCTGTGAGGTGTGCCTAACAATTATCCATTCAAATCGGTCCTTGGATATTCAGGTAGATCATTTGTATATTTAAGATGTAATGTTTAAAGCGGATTTGATTCCATAACTTTACATCCGCTTGGCAGTCTTCCTTGGATTTTTATAGTAGCTCGATATTCCTGGCAAAGGCTCGGTTATGCTGCAGCAGCGTTGGCTCTATAACCTTCCACACGCGAGCACACGCATCCCGTTTTGTAGCATATCGCAGGAAGAGGGCAAAGAGTTTCTCCCAGGGAATAAATAAGCCCAGCAGTATCTCACTTATGTCATTCATAATTGACTCTGTTTTCGGGTGGCCTCCTGGAACAGCATCCTCGGCAGCTTGGTACTCAGTGAGCTGCCCATGAAAGGTGACTGTAGCCACCTGGGATGGAGTGCAGGCCAAGCGCTGCACATATGTTGCACACTGAGGGTGATTCGGATCAAAGTCCACGTCATCTGCTGTTGCGTCACGCATGCTTTTGGTCTGTATGAGCATGCAGTATTCAAACAAGGAGAGGGGAGCCAAATGCAGGCTACGCCATTTATAGTTGTCAAAAACACTCACAGGGGCCGAATCGCTAACTTCAAAAGTGTAGGGTTTCTCTGCCATCCCGTTTGTGGAGATATCAGCATTGAGGTTGACTGATTGAATGGCCGCGCACACATATTATCTCAGCCACCAGAGATTGATCCGGATGAAGTTATAATTAATTGTGTAGTAGGTCGGTAGTTGGAGTAGAGTACTTGTGACTTAGACTCCGCTGATCTCACGGTCATGAGAGAGGGAGTTGAGGCAGTGTAAAGCAAAGTTATCTATACCTTTTTCTTGTAGACGTAGGTCAGTTACTGTTGGGAGATCGGCTACTTTTGCTTTATTAATGGAGTGCTTTAACAAAGCTGCTTTTGCCACCATTTGCCAGGGAGACATATTATCTTTGGTTGCATAATTAGTAATATAGTTGATCAGAGACAATAATTTAGAGACAGTTGGGATCCAAGAGGTATCTTGGTTCGATCAGATGCAGCTAGCTATAGCTGGATTCCATGGGTTTATCCAGGTATGGTTTCGAGCGAGGTGAATCAATCCGAATTTATCTATCTTAAAAGTAGAAACCAAATCTTGTGGCATGCCGAAGCGGCAAGTATTTTTACTGGATCCTATTTACTGATATTTAAAGCAGGTCAAGAGATGATTCCATGAATGGATTTGCTTTTTATATGTGATAGAGTTGCTGTCATAGGATAATCTAAGTTAAAAGTCGCCATTGTCACGGATATAGGATTGGGCAATCAGTGAATGAGTAGTAGACACGTGACCCCTTTGTCTATAAGGGCAGCAAAGCACAATAGCTTCATGTTTTCTTTTCTTTTCCTCTCTTTAGCTTAGTCTCTTAGTGATAGACTACCTAATCAACTATTGATTCAGCCGAGTCCCTTACAGCCATCAGATTTACGCTCCTTGCCGGAAGACAGTATTATAGAAATATTCACTTCAGAGTCCTGCGGAATACTCTTATCTATACCTTGTATAATAATTAACTCCAGATAATAAATCATGCAAGCAGCAAATAGCTCATCCTTTAGGAGCTAATTATATATAGTAGTGTTGGACTGAGCACTTATAATCTACCTGAAGGTACAATCAGACGTCATGGCACCTTTTTGTAGCCGAACGGTAGTATTGCTCGCAAAGTCTGTCAAGTAGTGAAACCATAATTATCCTTAATCTATACTAATATATACATATACAATATACCTTGACTATTGGTCTCTATAACAGCAAAATAATTGGAGAGATCTCTAAGGATCCTAATTTAACCTGTATTTATAGCAAGAAGGCTATCTAGAATAGTATTATATATATAATAAAAGAACTGTATAACTATAACAGGATTAGTTATTACTACTACCTTATAGATAGCAGTATTTGCTGACATGAAGATAGGCTGACCGTTGGGACGGGATAATCCCAGGGATTTCGGGATGGGATGGGATTTTGGGATTTTGGGATGGGAAATGGGAATCCCGCCCCATCCCAAAATCCCAAAATAATGCCAAGACAAGGATGGGAATCCCGTTTTCAAGGTTCATCCGGATGGGAATCCCATTCTAGCCCTACGTTTGGGATGGGATGGGAAACGGGATGCCAAGAGAGAAAACGGGATGGGATGGGATGGGATAGGAAATTCCTATAATTCCCAATTAATAAAATACTATATATACTGTTATAAAAGATTATTACAGACTATAGATTTAGCTTATAATTCCAGAATAACTTTAATTCTATTAAGCAAAGATACCTCTACTAAATATAACTATTCCTTAAACTAAATAATAAACTTATATTTATTTATATTTAAATTTTGAAATATATAAAGTATAAAAGTAATAGTCTCAGGTAATATTAAATATTCTTATTATAGATATTATTAACAGTATTTAAAGTATAAAAGTAATAACTACAGGTAATATTAGATATTCTTATTATTAATATTATTAATAGTTTTATTAGAATCTGAATTAGTTTTATTACTGGAAACTAAGTTAATCTTAATAATATTAGGGTTATAATCAGAATTATTATCAGTAGTATTAGATTTAGAGAATATACTTTAATCAGATATATTAACTTCTGGATACTCTTAAGAATATATAGAGATTAATATATTAACTGCTCTAGATAGATATTAATTATATTATTTAATATATTTTATTATTTTTATCTTTTAATAGATAAATAATTTCAGTTAAAGTATATTTTTATATCTACCAGTAGCAATATTATATATCTACTCTTCAGTATTCTGAAGTCTTTTATAGATATGTTCACTAGCTTATATAGTTAATTTTAATGGCTTTCAGGTAAAAATAGAGATCTTAGAAGTATAAAATCCAGTGAGAAAAGAATTATTCTTAAGTATTTCAAATATTAATTATATGTTCTCAGATTAAATAGTAATATATCTAGCATGTTCAGCCAGTCTATTAGTACCTAAAAGCAGTTAGTATAGTAAGATTATTATATAGGATTATTACTTATACTAGAATAATATAGTTAGTAATTGTTGAACGGGAAGATCATGTGATCCAACATCATGTGATGATATATCATGCAATCTCGATCATTCTATATTGCATTTCTATACATTTCTATCTCATTCTTGAGATGCTATTTTTATCACATGTTGCAGGCCTAAGGTCTACACCTATTCAACATAAATAGGCCTACATTTCCATCTATTCTGAATACCGGATTGATTCAGATTGATCAGATTGTCCAGTTTAGTCAATCTCATTCTATTATTCTATATAGTCATGTCTATCTAGTCAATTCATTCTATGGGTTTTACCCGATATCTATCTATCTATTATCTATCTTATCTCTTGATCAATTCCCCTGATCACATGCCTAAGGATATCTAGGTTATCAATACCCTAGATCTCCAACAAATATTTTTTTTAATAAATATGTTAGTTGCAGCTCAGAGAGCCGCAGGTAGTAGGGGAATAGCGTGCTACGGCGCCGCAGGTGGCAGGAGCAGAGGACTGGGTTTCTATTGAACGATCTACTACCATACACAGAGGTTGATCACTGGTTTCTGAAGCCATTGGGGTGCGGTAAAGATTTTACTGCAGCGGGTAGTATATGACCTGCACATGCTACTATATCACCTGCAGGTACTATAAGGTGCGCCTAACATTACTCCCCTCTCTTAGAAAGCCCTGGCCTCAGGGCTTTGTAGGTGCTTATTTATGCGAGTATAGAATCCTGGCTTATACAGAGTTGGTTACAGGCGCGTGGTGTAGGCGTTCAGTGATTCTGAGCAGTATATGATTTCACGCTTGGAGATAGCCTCATATTTTCCATTTCAGGAAGTATAGGAATATTAGTTATATTATACAGGATCCAATTCTGATTCCTGCTGTATGTCCTATAGTATAGAACGCTCGGTTCCATTTACTTACTTAATATCGGGCAGTAATATTATATTATAGTTATATTATACTATTTACTGATTCTGTTGCCTAGGCACTACTTATATTAAATATTATCTACTATACAGTAATTTCTTATATACTGTTTCTTATTTCTTTTCTTAATTATTAATCTCTTCTATATCTATAGTAAGTGTCTTATTTTCTGTATTATACTATATATTTAGATTATTCTAATTATAGTATCCTATTCTGCTTATTATATTATCTATATCTTATAGTTTTGAGATCTCCTGAGCTATCAGGTATAGTACTATTATATCTATTATTCTATTAATAATTATATTCTATATTAAGCTTTTTTCTGCTTTCTTCTTAGCTTTATTTATAGACTTGTATATATACTGATTTCACTAATATATTTAATAGATAGCTAAATATTAATCTGCTGCCGCTTATATACTCTGCTATACTAATAGATATAAAAAGAAGAACTATATCTATTACCTATATTATTAGCAGACTTTAGTCTCTGCTATATTTTCTTCTATATCTTCTCCTGTATCTTCTTCTGTGTCCTCTCTTTTTAGGGACTTTTTATCAAGTCTGTTTCTGGTCCTCTTTTTAGAGAAAGTAGTTACGCTACTGGATTCTCTCAGTAGAAATAATATTATACTTTTAGCTTTCTTAAGTAGGGAAGATCTCTTGTCTTCTCTCTCTTTAAAGAATAAGGCCTTCTTATCTTCAGAAGATAACACAGACATTTCCTTATCTAAAAATAATAGAGAATAATATCTGCAGTGTCTCCAGTACTGCAGTTCAGCCCTATCAGGGATAAGTATTGCCTGTATAGTCTATAAGGACTGTTATATCTATTTCTATTATATAAGTAGTCACTATTATTATATACCGGCAAGTAATATCTCCTGATCCCTAATACTGGATTATGCTGATATGTGCAGTAGGTGCTCACTGGGGCCATTATGCAGGCAGATATAGTATTAGTAGCATATTACTGCTTTAAGCAGTCTCTATCTACTATTATAATAAAGAAGACTTTTAAAGCTACAGTTTATACTCTTAACACTATTATTTATCCTGTATATATAGCACCCGGTATAGCCCGCCGCGGTAGTAGTAGCCTAGATTCAGGATTACTAGCTTCTTTTACTCTATTTCCTATAAGTCCCTGCTTTCTTTACTAGTATATACTGGGTATATTTATTTCTCTCTTTAAGTAAGTCCTCTTCTGTTAAGCGGACTCTACTGGAGCTAATCTATAGATATAGAAGATAAAGTATTTTTATTTTTTAATTATAATTAGAATAGATAGGGTATAGTCTTTAGATATTTCTATAGTTTTTTTTTTTTTATAATTTATTTCTACTACTTAGTAAGTTATATCTATAATGTTATGATTTTATAGGCCTACTATAGATATCAGTACTCTAGATACAGTCAGTCTTCTCTTTTATATACTAATATTTATCTAATACTTAAGTTTCTTATATATGCTTCAATAGTTTCCAGATATTATCTACAGGTATATATCCTGTCTATTAGACTAGATATAGTATTTCTCTATTTTAGATATATTTTTCTATTAAGATATATTCTATCTTCTATTCTTTATCTCTATTAATCAAGATAGGTAATGACTATATCTTCTGATCT